GATATTATCAACAATGATTTAATGGTTTTGTATTTGAAACCGACTATGTACTTGATGTTCTCTTACTCTTATGTCTCCAATGTGAACATTGATAAAACTAAATAGCTGGATACTTTTGGATAAAGAGGTATAAAATGTTAAAGAAAGTATTAACTTACCTTAAAATTTACAAGTAAATCTATACCTACAAAATTGGCAAAATACATATGTATAAGCTAATGTTATTTAAACTAATTTTAAAGAAAAAATGATATTTTTTATTCCTTCTAAATTTGGTCATAAATTTTTTAGTTATTAGAACAATTCCGTTTACGTTTTCTACATACAAAATCCACTTCTGGAATATTTATGACCGACAGCTTTGTTACTATCATCTTTTGAGTATTTACATTATAAACTGGAAACTGAAAATTCATCAGTAATCCATTTTTCTGTTATAAAAAAAGGGTGATCCCATTGATAGAGAGGCGTCAGGCGGCTGTATGTTGGGGATTTACCACACGTGTACAAATTTTCCATAATATTAATAAAAATGTAGGTATAGGTTAATATAACACCCATTACGCTTGAAAACAAAAGGTAAATGAAGTGTGTATGTATTTATATTATTAATGTTACAAGTACACGTCTTATTGCCTTATGGATTCACCGTAATTAAAATCTAACTGAACAAAAATGCCACACTTCCACAACGCGGTATCTCCGGACATGCACTGCGTAGGTAGATAGGTACCAACCAAACATTTTAAAACGCATTTCGGTCATTGCCAGTTTTTTCAGTCTATTTTGCCACTATTGGTGTAACTTAACTTTAATTGTGATACAATGGGCTCTAGTAGTGTAAAAAAAAGAGCTCTTAGTAACATCAAAACAGACAAAGAAATGGGCATGCACTGTAGTGTACATTTTGTCACTATTTAGCACATTAAGGGGTAATAAACACTCGCATTAAGTTTTTCTACCCTTTTGATTTATTTTAATAATAAATAGTGTGAATGTACCAATGAATAATGTCCATATTCTTTAAATGTGTTTAATAAAGTTAATAAGCACTAAATGCTACCTAGTGTATTTTGTAGTGTAACTTTTACACTTACAAATCAAGTCTAATATTTTTACCCCTACACTAAAAAATTTACACGCGGGCAAAATTTTTTATTGTGTATAATTGCTAATAAATTTAACATTGTTTTACCAATTGGAGAAATAATTACCTAATGTATCAGGTAAGATTATCTATTTATATACATAAATAGTTTGGCTTCAATAAGCCAAGGTACATTCACTGAACCAAAACAAATGGATATAAATAAGGTACAATAACCTGACAATATTATTTATATCTACAGTTTTGTTGACGATATGTTTGGAAATATTAGTGAATACTTTCTACCTCATGTTCCAGTCGAAATTTGGTGTAACATATTTCGATTTTTAGATGGAGCCTCTTTACTTTCTGCAGCAAATGCTTATCCTTATTGGTTTAATATTTGCCAAGGCGATTTAGTACTAACCAGAATGTTACAACGGCAAAATACAAGAAAAGTGCATTTAGCAAGAAAACTTATACTTAATCCTAAGAGATTCAATAATATTCAAAGAAATTTTGCTGATGCTCCAGTTTATAATGTAAATACGCAAAAGATGATAGTGACAAAGCTGTCCGTCATAAATATTCAAGAAGTGGATTTTGTGTGTAGAAAACGTAAACGGAATTCTTCTAATAACTTTGATACTTGTGTCAAGAAAATTAGACTTTAATAATAAAAAAATGATTTTCTTGTAGAATAAACATTGAATTTTTTCGTGGTGTTTCACCAATAAAAAAGTTATAGCCTTAAAGTTGACCAAATTTAGAATCAATAAAAAATGTCATTTAAATTTAAATAGCTTTAGCAAATATGGATTTTTTAATAATATTTTTAATAAAATATAAAATATTAATAATAATCTATTTATTATTTTATAATTTGAAATAAAAAAAATAACAAACAATAAAGTGCTGAAAAATTGAAATTGAAAATCAAGCTGACCTAATTATATTCATTTTTTTACATTGCGGTACATGATTTCGGCGCTGTATATGAGATAAGTGAAGCGCGTTATAGCGGGTATCAATAATTATAATTATGTATTTAAAATTGTCGTGTATTTACTATTATTTTAATAAAAACATTAAAAATTAAATATATTTAAGTACTATTATTTTAATAAAAACATTAAAAATTAAATATATTTAAGTAGGTATTACTTTGTATTTTTAAAAATTAAGCCATAGAATAATTATTACTAGGTATATTTATTATAATAGATGGGGGATTATGCGAAAATAAAAGGATTATATGCTCACGGTAGGTATCATAAAATTTATGATACCTACCGTGAACATATAATCCTCTTATTTTCGCATAATCCCCCATCTATTATAATAAATATATAACTTATTTTTATTTGCATTTATGATAAATGCAAATAAAAATGATAATCCTTTTAAAGATTGTGTCACATATTATTTTGCCACACTGTGCAAAACACAGGCGTTTAATTTTTTATTTTTAGGTTAGGTTCAAATGACATATTTGGCAATTTAATTAAGTATTAATAATAATAAAATGTGTCATATTTAAAAAAAAACATGACTTGGTGGTTGATTTTACTATTTTTTTTTAGCTTTTGCTCAATGGCTCGTATACGTACGAAGTTTTCCCAAAGTTATAGCAATAAGTAGGTAAATTTATAAATTCAATTTTTTCCGTTTTTATGACAAAAAGTAAATTTTGTGAACAAAAGTTATTTGTTTTACAAGTGTTGAAAAGCGACTTTTTCATGCGAGTTTTTAAGTTGCCTACGAGGCCGTTAGGCCGAGTGTGCATTAACACGAGTTTGAAGAAAGCTTTTCTCACAAGTATAACACAATGTTTTTTCTGCGACCCTTTTATTTTTTATTATTTTTAAATACAAAACAAAATAACCTAAAAACTTTTTTGACAGGTGAATGTCAAACGATGCTGTCAATTTCTTTTCACACAGACCTGTCACTTTTCACACAGAAATGTCACTTTACATTCGTGTTTTGCCTTGCCAATGAAAAGATTCATTTTCTAAGCAACGATGCCACCATAAAAAGTGACTTTTACATAGTGGTCGTAGAAAAAATAAATTTTATACGTAAGTACTATTTAAGTATAAGGATTTTAAATATTATTTTGGAAAATATTATATTATTATTGACAGGCTATTACTCACGAGGATTAGGTTTTCGTTTTGAGCTGCTGGTTTTTTTAAACATATATTTTTAAATATAATTGCTAATAAACTTAAAATTGTATCTACATAACCAATTGGACAAATAATTATCTAATGTATCAGGTAAGATTATCTATATACATAAATAGTTTGGCTTCAATAAGCCAAGGTACCTACTTTTGTCTACTGAACCAAAACAAATGGATATAAATAAGGTACAATAACCTGAAATTTTATTTATATCTCCACGTTTGTTGACGATATGTTTGGAAATATTAAGGAATACTTTCTACCTCATCTTCAAGTCGAAATTTGGTGTAACATATTTCGATTTTTAGATGGAGCCTCTTTACTTTCTGCAGTAAATGCTTATCCGTATTGGTTCAATGTTTGCCAAGGCGATTTAGTACTAACCAGAATGTTACAACAGGAAAATACAAGAAAATTGCGATTAGGAAGAAAACTTATACTTAATCCTAAGAGATTCAAGAATATTCAAAGAAATTTTGCTGATGTTCCAGTTTATAATGTAAATACGCAAAAGATGATAGTGACAAAGCTGTCCGTCATAAATATTCAAGAAGTGGATTTTGTATGTAGAAAGCGTAAACGGAATTCTTCTAATAACTTTGTTACTTGTGCCAAGAAAATTAGACTTTAATAATAAAAAAGAATAAATTTTGATTTTCGTGGTGTTTATAAAATTTTCTATAATAAAAAAGTTATAGAGCCTTAAAGTTGACCAAATTTAGAATGAATAGAGTTTAAAAAGATGTAACTTTAAAACTAATATTTATTTAACTTTAAGTTTTTTAATATTTTTTTTAATAAAATATAAAATGTTAGTCTTTTTATTTTTAAAGATTTAAATTTAAATTAACAAACAATAATGTGAAGTGCTGAAAAATTAACATTTTATTTATTTTTTAAAATTAAGCTATGCAATAATTATTCTCAGGTATTTTTATTATAATATATGGGAAATAATGTTTCCATAAGGGGAATTATATGTTCAAGGTAGTGCAAATAAAAATAAGTTATAATCCTTTTAAAGATTGTCGTAGGTAGGTTTTAATTGAAAATATTAACAAATATATATTCTTTTGTAAATTGACTTATCGTTTACAAGATTATAGCTGATATTATCAACAATGATTTAATGGTTTTGTATTTGAAACCGACTATGTACTTGATGTTCTCTTACTCTTTCAAAATGACTCCAATGTGAACATTGATAAAACTAAATAGCTGGATACTTTTGGATAAAGAGGTATAAAATGTTAAAGAAAGTATTAACTTACCTTAAAATTTACAAGTAAATCTATACCTACAAAATTGGCAAAATACATCTGTATAAGCTAATGTTTAACAACATGGATTAAATTATTTCTTTTTGATACTTTATCAAGTGTGCTTAATTGATCTATTATTATACAGTCATGTACAGGTGCATGAGTTGGTTAGAGGAAGTTCAAAACGATTGCTTGACGAAAAACTGCAAGATTTAGATAAAAATATATTGTATATAACAAAGTGCCCTCCTGAGAAAATAGATGAACCTTCAAGGCGTTCAAGTGGTTTATAAACGAAAATGGCTCGCATGTAATAGTACAGAAGCTCGTTTCCTGGAAAAGCACTAAGAATGGCTCAATGAAGAAATTTCAATACCTGCTGACCCAATTCCCGGCAGCTCCAAAGGTCGCCCAAGTAAAGAATTCGGGGATTCAAGTGACTGATAAAAGCGTCGTAAAAGAATGGAGAATGTGGCAGTTCACGAACGCACATACGCGGCACAGATCAGTCAAAGAGCGGCGGGTACCAAGAAACACACACCAGAAGATGCTTTGAGTATATACGTCGAAGCTAATTTGACGGTTAATCAATACGAGATGATCCATCAGGCCAACAAAGATCCGTGCTATACCTACGTGCAGAGTGCTAAACAAGATTGTTACCCCCCAAAAAGCGTCAGTGAGACAGTTGCAGAGGTGAAGCTCCAAGATTTATTGGATCAAACATCGCGATTGTGTAAATATTTGGAACCAGTTCTCCAGCAATGCATCCAGAGTACAGACACAGATTTAGTGCTCATATATCAGTGGGGATGTGATGGATCCACTCAAAGCCAATACAAACAAAAATTCGAGGAAGACGGAAATAGTGATGCAAACATATTTTTAGGTTTCCTTGCGCCCCTTCGTCTTATGTATGGAGATAACATTATAGGAAGAACATGCAACCATCATCACCAAGATATTATGAGCCAATACGGATTTGTTATGTAAAGGAGGACAAAGACATAACCAATGAAGAAATTGAATACGTTCAAAACCAGGTCCAAAATCTTCAAGCAACGAAAACCCGAAAACACCGAAAACGTAAGAATAAAACCTGTACTGCTTCCAATGATGGTCGACGGAAACACTTCATATGTGGTAAAACTTCAAAAAGTTTTAACGATTTGACCATAGATAACAAAGACGTCCACAAACCCAGAGAATCCTGAGACGTTCAAATTCGGGCTGTACGCCAGAATAAGGTTTTTTGAATTTTTGCTGCACCTCTCTTATAAAATAAAGGCAGAAGTTTATAAGGGTCGCATAACAGAGAAAAGTGACCGGGAAAAAATCCAAGCGGCCAAAGAAAATATACAAAAAGAGGTCCACGATAAAATGGACATTCCGTACGGAAATATCAATGATGGTAATACGTCGCGAAAATTTTTTAATTGCCCACAACAAGCGGCTACTACTACAGGCGTGGATTTATTGTTAATTAATCATTTTAAAGTTATACTAGAAGTATTATCTTCAGGATTTGAAATAGACCTCAAAAAATTTTCGACATTCACGATGGATACAGCAAAGCACTACGTAAATTTGTATCCCTGGCAACCTATGTCACCTACAGTTCATAAAATTTTAATGCATTCATCCAGTTTATTGCTGCCAATCGACCATTTCTCGGAAGAAGCTACGGAAGCTAGAAACAAGCACTTCCGCAAATATAGGGAGAGCTTTTCTCGGAAGTTCTCTAGGACAGCATGCAATGAAGATGTGCTAAACCGTCTCCTTTTAACTTCCTATCCTTATTTAAGCAGATTAAGGCCGAAAAACAAAAAAGATAAGAAGGCTTTTTCAGAGGAAGCTCTTAAAATTTTCAAACTCGATAATAACAGCAGTAGTGACAGGTTCCAGCAGTTGACAAGGCATGACGCATTGTAGCAGCGAGAGTTCTTAAACGTAAAAGTTCAAAGTTTAAATCCAACAAATAATTTTTTAAAAGTGCAAACCAATTATAGTGAAACAAACAATTTTCATAAAGTGCAAACTAAAATAGTGTAACGGTCAAGTGTTAAGTGATAAGAAAGAGTTAAGTGACAACTTTCAGCTTCTGGTCCTATAGATATACCACCTGTCATTGGACGCTTTCCACTAGTCAAACAAAAAAGGTCAAACAAGAGGAGAAGTGGCCATCCGCAAAAAACTGATAAGTATCCTTAAGCATATGCATGACCTAACACATAATTTGCAAATTAAACATGACAGATATCTTTAAAACCCTACGAAAGGCACACTGCTTAAACTCTAGAAAAAAACAATAAACATCAGTAACAATAGAAACATTAGAAAGACAATACTAACCAAACATCATAAAATAATTTTTTACTTAATTACAACAAAAAAAAAACAAAACTTCCCAATCGAACTACCGCGGTGATACACCAAAGCTGTGTAGGACAATAAATCTGTCAACAACAAATGCGTAAGGCATGAAATCTAAACGAGACCAATAATAAACATTTGACACACAGTATAAACTAACACTCAATAAATCACTAAGACTAAAAACAGCATACTAATCAAACTCTATTGGATTTGTAAACACATTAGATTATAACAGAATAATGAGCATGTCATTTGTTTAACTAATAAATAAATGCAATACTTAATTTTGGAATTTAAGAAAAAAAAAGACAAAACTTTACCACAAAACGTGCCTGGGCAACACAATAACATTAAAAAAAAGTTGCGGCAATAAACAATTAAAAAAAAAACATCAAAAGCTACAAGTTACATATCCAGCTACTGAACTATCTATTGATGGTTTTCGGCCTCAAGACTGAAGACACATGTGCAGGAACAATCCTACTTGGACACGAACAATAACGACAAAAACGTAGACCAAGACGTAGGCTCCTGCAGCAAAATATCAACTCCAGAACTCCATACAGTAATCCCAAATGTTTGGAGTAATACTAACTGCCTGGTCTAGGGGGTTCCGCGTCGTACTTAGATTTAAGTCGGCGTAATTGTCCCCCAAACACAAAACTGTCTATCCCTCCCGTCCTACCTCCTTCATTAACCTACTGGACGTATAGCATCGGCTCGGCGAACCCGGGAATGGCTACTAAAACTATTGGCATTTCGCTCTCGACCCTAATTAGGGGACAGTGCGGGACGCAATGGACATTCGCAACCAGCAAACACAGGTGAAGCCGCGCCGTTGCTGGTGGCGAAAGAAAATCGGCGCAAGGAAACAGAGGCCTATGCGGGGCCCGGGAGGGATGAGGCAATGGGGCCGGTTATACGTCTCTTATACTCATACTCATACTCGATAACAACAGCAGTAGTGATTACCAAGTAATTAATTAAATGTTTTTGTTAGTTAAATATATGTTTAATTTTAATATTTTTATTGTATTACTTGCATGTAAGGGGGCATCCATTAATTGCGTGAGGTGTTTAGGGGGGAAGGGGGTGGAGCCAAACCTCACCCAATCTCACGTGGGGGGGAGGTTGGTCTCGGAAAATATCACGTAATTTTTTCTTTTCGAATGAAACAGTGTACAATTGCGAGAAAACTGGGTTAAATTAAGTAAACAATTATAACAATTGTTTTTTTAATGAATCTGATGGAATCAATCACAGATTAACTTATTTACATTAAAACCATGCATTTTAAATAATCTCACGTGAGATTACGGGAGGGGGGAGAGGGTCGAGCAAAATCTCACATCTCACCAAGGGGAGGGAGGGAGTAGAAAAATCGCCAAAATTGCCTCACGTAATTAATGGATGACCCCTAAGTAGCTAATTAATGTATATATTTTTTTAATAATTTTTTTTTTTTTAAATATATGTATTCAAAAATTTATAAAAAAAAAATATATATACATAAATTACCTACTTACATGCAAGTAATACAATATAAATATTAAAATTAAACATACAGGGTGTTAATTAATGTTATATATTAAAATACTAAATACCTTTTTACATAAGGAATAAAGGAAAATATTTAAAAAAACATTTTTCCAAAGATAAAGAAAAAATATGCATTAGAAGTTTTTTATATTTTTTGTGATACGCCACTGGTTACACACTTGTTTATCTCTGCACACCTGTATTTTGTGAGTACATAGATACCAACCAACAAAGTAGCTATGCGTTGCCAGATGTAAAAAATTGTTACTAAAAATTTTTCTTGCAAAAAATAAATAAAAACTTAATAAATACAAAAGTTTTATGCCCTTAAAGCTCTAACACCCTTCTGTATTTATTTACTCATCCAGCTATTAGCTTAAGCAATAATTAGAAAATTTAGTACCTTTGAAATTTGAAATCCATAACCACAAAATTAATTTTTTCATCAGTTTTTTTCTCTGTTTACTCAGATGAAATTGGGACCAGTTCACAGGTTAAACTTTAAACATTTAATTTGTGTAAATAAATCCAAAAGCACTTCCCTTAGTTAAGATATTTACAATTTGAAAACATAACCTAAAATTTAAAAGAAATGCACTAGATTCTGTCATAAAAGTTGGCAGATTTTGTTTTAATTTACCTTCAGTACAAAAATGAAATAACCAACAATTAATAAAAACGCCAAATTGACAATTTGCATTGTTAATTTTGTCATTTTTATAATTAAGCTAAATTTAAACAATGTTTGTCAACTTTTTTGAGAGATTTTGGAAAAACTGTTGTTACCAACCATAACATAATAAATCCACCAGATTAACCTAAAGTTCCTAGTTGATCAGTGGCGTACTTTTTGGTAGGATAAAGGTTATTATAAATTATTTTTAGACTTTGGAATTTAGAAAAAAAAAAGTTTCAGGTGCTTCTTTATGGACCCTAAGGAACAACCCATTTTAATATATAACATTAATTACATAACACCCTGTATATTTAACTAATAAAAACTTTTAGAAATTTTCTAGTTAAAAATAGCTACTTTCACTTGTTTACCTTTAAAAATATGTTTTTTAGTCATTTGATACCCTGTTGATACAGAAAAAGTGCCACGTTTTAGGCCAGTATACCTGTCTGTGAGGCGGCAGTATGTTGTGTTTCCTATCTAAAAATAAATTAGTCAAAAATTACTAATTTAATACCTAGTTATTAGTGGCTTCTTTTTCACTTGTACCATGGTTAACCATGGAATACCTGGTATCCCATAATTCAACAGCAAATTCTTATGTAACATTGTCCCCTGAATCCGAAAATACCGTCAAAGTTAAAAAATTAGAACAGTTTTTGAGATATAGTCAATTTTCCATTTAATATGGAATTGAGTATTTTCGGATTCAGGGGACAATTTTACATAAGAATTGGCTGTTAAATTTTGGGATACCGTGGTATTCCATGGTTAACCATGGTACAAGTTAAAAAGCAACCACTAGTAACTATTGAATTAGTCATTTTTGACTAATTTATTTTAAGAGAGTCGATAATCATTAAATGGCAAAGCAAGTTTTGCTTTGGTCTGGCGCGCCATGGCGTCTCGGCAGCGAACACTGAGCTCGGTTTAATAAGCGCCGTCTCCGCCTAAATAATATACTATTTATTCTGATTGATAAAAGCCAGGAGTAAAATACCTTGCAAACAAAACTAAAATTATATTAAACTAATAATTATTATTTAATTATTAAATATTTAAAAATAAACCTCTTTAAATAAGATAAAAATACATTATAAAATAAAAGATCTTATCACAATTGTTAGTTTTTTAGTGTTTAAGTGGGTCTTAATATTATGATAAGATACTTTAAAATTTTAGTATAGGTAAATACTTACCTATAAGCTACATTTAACAATACTAAAATTATATCTAAAATGAATTTTAAACTACTATTTCTAGCAACATTGACAGCTTGTGTTGTTCAGGTAAATACAAAATATATTATTATAATACTTATACCTACTTATTAATAATAGGGGCGGATGGGACCACCGGGACACCGGGCAAATGCCCGGTGGGCCGGACACCAAAATGGGGCCGGGGCGGCCGCTTTTTTAGTAAGATTATTTTTAACACAGATGTTATCAATTTAATGACATTTTTCATTTGAATAAGACACTGTATTGATTAAAACTGCATTTTCATTTTAAGTACAATAATCAACACAACTTCTGCAGTTTGCAGAACAATCCACACAACACAGAGCCACAGTGCCACACAACAAGGTCTGTTCGATCTCGTTAGAATGCGAACGAAAATCGCAACTGTTTTGCGCATCACGTGGATATAGCCGGCCACTATCTTTAATTGTTAATTTAAATTTAAATCATTGTTTTTTTTAAGTTTTAAAGTAAACGCAAATATTTTTAAACATCAGTTAATCTTCGAACAACAAAATTATACCGTTGATTTATAATATTGTGGGGACTAAACCCGTAATTATGTTGTAAATATTTTAGTACCCTGAGCCGATTCTTTCAACACTGCAAATTTCCCATCATTTGCATTACTTGCTTACCTTTACCTCTCCTTTACCTTTATAAATTAAATCTAAAATATTATAGACTTTATTACTTTTTGGATTTTTGCCGCGTTTTAAAGATTTTTATACCTACTCCCTACTCCGATCAACGGAGGCAGATCGGAGAGCTATTATCGACCACTACGTCCTAATTCATCGTCTTGAATACATCGGCTCCGGGTAGCTACACGCTAAGTTTGTTTTTGATTGTTTTGTGTTCGTGTGTTCTTCACAAATATGGATAGACAGGAGAAGGAAAAAATTAAGCGGAAAGGAGGAGCAGAAAAAGAAAGAGAGCGCAAAAAAAAGAAACTGTTAGAAGAAGCGGCAAAATGCAGATCATTAGATACGTTTTCGTTTTTTAATCCGCAAGAACAGCCGCGGCCATCGACATCTAAAATGTCTGAACCTTTAAAAAATACACCCGTATCTACGATTATGCAAGAAAGTTCGCCTAAAAATAAAAAAAATATTGAAATTTTAAGGCCCACTTTATCCAGCGAAATGATCTCGCAGCCCATAGTGCCTTTTGAAATTGACAAAGAATATTGTTTGGAACCCGACTTTTTTAAAAGACCGACAAAAGAAGAGCTAGGATTTTTTTTTGAATATCATCCAAAAATTCCAAATAAGAATGAAGCGCATTCATTACCTTTTAATGTAGAAAATGTTTTTAAAAGATCACCAACAGAGGGTGAAAGAAAGTGGATTTCCTTTAATGACAAAAACAATTCCCTTTTTTGTTGTGTTTGTTTAGCCTTTTCTGGAATCAATGAAAAAAATATTTTTACTCAAGGAATGTCTGACTGGAGACATGTTTACCAAAGAATAAATGAACACGAAATTTCCAATCAACATACAAATTCTGTCACTTCGTATTTTAGATTTGTCGCAAACAAATGCATAAACAAGTTATTGTGTGATTCTGAAATATTAAAGAAAAAACAATCCAAAATTACTCAAAATAGGGAAGTAGTTCACCGAGTTATAGATGTTATTAAACTTATTAGCAAAAGAGGATTGTCATATCGGTAGGTTAACTTAATTTTATAATAATTTTATGTACTCTTGTTACTTCTTACTTACTTATAACTTTTTTCAGTGGTAAAACAAATGAAGCCGCGTACACCCTGGATTCAGAGAATGAGCACAAAGATCATGGCACCTTCTTGGAAATTATTTTGCTTTTATCAAAATATGATATTGTACTTAAAAACCATCTTGACAGCGCAATTGAAATAAGCAAAAAAAATGAAGAAAAAGGCATAAAAAACAGAACAGGAAATTTTGTTACTTTTATTTCAAAAACAACGGTCAATATGCTTATTAGTATAATAACTACCGACATTAAAAAGCTAATCTTTGAACAAATTAAGTCATCTGGTATGTTTTCCCTGGAACTTGACACTACGCAGGATATTTCAGTAATGGACCAATGTTCTGTTGTTGTAAGGTATGTTTACCAAGCTTTTTAACTTTTTTGTCACAAGATAATAGAAATAATAATGAGTTTATTCATAAAAAATGTAGATGGACAATAGAAAGGTTATTAAAAAAGTTTTCATAATATACAAACAGTGAGTACATAAAAATTAATTTTTATGGTTTTGTAAAGTTAAATTTAAGTTTTACCTAAATAAAAATACCTGAACAAGATTTTTTTCATTGCAGATACGTATATCAAAAACAAGTTATGGAAAGACTTGTAGCTGTAGTTTCCTGTCACGATAGCACTGGACAAGGATTTCATGACATTATTAATAACGTACTACAAAAAAATGATTTAGACGTTGGATTTTGTATCGCTGATTCAACAGATGGGGCAGCTAATATGCAGGGGAAATATAATGGATTCACCGTTAAAATGCAAGATCAAAATCAAAATCACGTGCATATTTGGTGTTATGCACATATTTTGAATTTAGTGTTAAACGATATTTTAAAAGATAATTTACAAGCCTCCAACTTATTTTCTTTATTAAACACTACAGCTTCATTTTTTCGAGAATCTTATAAAAGAATGGATATATGGTCTTCTATTTCTGAAGATCAAAATCGGAAAAAACTTGGTTTAATAGGAACAACAAGGTGGTGGTCAAAAGAAAAAGAATTAGTCAAAGTTTTTGGAGAAGAACCTCTTTATATAGATGTAATCGAGAGTTTAAATAATATTTCAAAAAACCGCAATTTTAACCCCGATATTCGGTCTACCGCAGATAGTTTAAAAACACAATTTTTAAAATATGAAATTATTATTACAGGTCAAATTTTTTTAAAAATATTTGAAATTACGGGCCCACTTTCTCGATATTTACAAACGCAAGGTATGGACCTTATAAAAGCCAGTTTTATGATTAAAAACTCAGTATCTGAATTAAAAAAAATTCAACGTGACTTTGACATAGTTGAAAATTCAACAAAAAAATTTATATCAGTTATTAATGCTGAAATTGAAAAGAGAGATCTTGATTTTGAAATACAAAAAGAATTTCCTATTATAAGAAAAAGAAAGGTTAAAAAATTTGTTGATGAAAATGTTTCAGATGAATCCATTCAATATCCTCGAGAAAAATTTATTGTTAACACCTTTTACGTAACAGTGGACACAGCAGTTGAGTCTATGGAAAAACGCTACGAAAAAAATTTAAATTTAATTACAGACATTTCAATTTTCAATCCCTTTTCATTTGATGAAATAAAAAAAAATAAGTGCCTTCCAGAACAAAGTTTACATTATATTTTACAAAAAATTTTAAAGTTTAAACCAGATGCTTCATGTTTAAGAATTAAAGATGAATTGCTACATTTTATAAATAATTGGGACCTTTACAAAATGTCACTTAAAAATTCAATTATAAATATTATTGAAAAAGATCCCACATTCTTAACAGTTGATGAGAATGAACAAGTTGACTTTCAAAATCAATGTAATAAAGAAACTAATCTTTGCCAAAACTGCGTTTTCTGTTGCTACTTGACTGTAGTTAAATATAGGTAACATGTATCAAAATGCATATCCTTGCCTATATGTTATATATCAATATATTTTAACTCTTCCAGTGACTCAAGTGTCTTGTGAACGAAGCTTTTCAATTTTAAAATATATTAAAAATAGATTAAGGAATTTTTTATCAGAGGAAAACTTAGAATCTTTTATGCTCATGAATATGGAGCGAGATCTGTTAAGTAAAATCGACAACGAAGAAATTATTAATAAACTCGCTTTATCCAGTAGGTTAATGCAGAAAGTATTAACATATTAACCAATGATTATTTTTATTCTGTTTTGTTTTAGACTTATATAACATTTAGTTTTCGTTTTGTTTTAAAAATAATGAAACATATTTTTTTAATTTTAGAGTATTTGTTTTTTTTACCATTTGATTATATATTTTTTTGTCAGGTGTTTTTTTATTTTGCTTATACCTTAAACTTTCCTCTCAAGTACAATGGGCCGCTCAGCTCGAGAAATCCAGGGCCGGTCTGACCCCCCCCATCCGCCCCTGCTTATTACCTACATTAAATATGGTAGAAAACACGCCAAGTGATTCCAAATTTAAAGAAATTTTATTGTACCATCGAACTACTACCAGGTTGACGGTAAAATTGGTTGCAGATATACAGGGGTTGAAAAACGGCCAATTTAATTTTTTAAATTATTGGGGAAGGTGTAAATATGGAATATGCTTGCAATATGGAATACCTTTATTTCTCTCCTATTTTTTTTGCAAAATTATTTTTTTAAATGCGACAGACTTTTAATTAATTTAGCTAAAGATTTATATTCTTAATTGGTTAAGTTGACTTTTAATAAAATTTTGAGTTTAATTTCTCAGTTTTAAAAGCAATTGCAGTCTAAAAACAAAATAATATTCTATATTTGCACCTTCTCCTCTATAAAAAAAGCTTATTCATTCCCCTAAATTTTTTATGTATATGGGCAATTCTCCAGAAATCGGTAATCGCCATAAAAAAATGTATTGCCATCTTTATTAAAATTCATTGAAATATCTTGTGTCAACAAATCAAAAAAATATTACTCCCACCTTTACGCCCTTTATCGTACATGTTTCCATGACACTAAGTGACCTTTTAAATACACATTGACAAGTTGTGGCTTTATGGCGCTTGAGTCACGGGCTAGAGTTAGCAACAGGTTTTTAGTCACGGGCTGAAGTTAGTTTTAAGTTAGTTGACAGTTGTCAAATGTCATACAATCGTTAAAATATAGTGCCTTTCTTGTAAAATAATACTAAATGTGAAAATTATTTTTTTATCTCAATACAAAAGTATTAAATAGTTTCTCAACGCCAATATTTGACGGTGACACACAGATTCCCCTATTGTTTCATAGATGGCGCTCTATACAAATTTTTAATTTAAATAATTTTAAGATAATAATAAGTATTTGTCGTAGAAAAAATATAGTATGCACCTCGTTTATAAACTTTTCTATACACTCATTAATTTAAGCACTCGCTCGCAAGCTCGCTCGAGCCTAAATTAAATTCGTGTATAAAATGACGTTTATCAAACTTGATACATAATATACTATAAAAGCACAAAACATTATTTTATAGTTATTTTGAAAGCAGTGGCGCATGCTATGCATGCATTATTTGTGTAAAGTAATAATAGAGGGGTCACAAGTATGATTTCATACTTACTTTACACAAATAATTGGACTATTTAATTAACCCTTAAGCAGGCACGCGGGGTGTACAAAACACCCCAGCTTCCTAAATATAGCTACCGGTCTCACTTCGTTTCGAATAAATGGCGCTTACTTTCAGTACCTTCCTGTCAAAGTATTGTCAGTCATATTATATTGCCGATTTCGAAGTTAATGTAATAGGTTGTCTGATATTTTGTTTCAAACAGGCTCTGGGTGCTGTGGACACCCCGTGCGCCTTTCCACGTACAATTATTTTGCATTAATTTGTTAAGCTGATTTTTTCAACTTTTGTTATTTCTTCACATTAAATAAGGTTATACCCTGTAAAAAAGTAATTGGAACGCACGACAAAATATTTATTTTTATCTTGAAAGCATTGCGTTATGTTTTGCTTGTTTCCGTTCGTTCTAATATTTTACGTAAACAACAAATAAAAATTTGCCAAAATTTCTCCGCCCAATAATTTTCAAATTATCAGTTGCCGGTAAAGAAGGGCAGATGTGTAATTTGTCCAAGGCATGCCTTTTTGCAAAAAGTAGAAGGTGTGCCAAAAACATGTGCATGAAGCACAGGAAAAATGTTTGTAAAGAAAGCTTTGATTCCATAGGAAATTCTAGTATCGAAATTGAGTGACTTTGAGCAGGCTGGGTTTCGCCTCCCTATTGACTTTTCTTTACCAAATCATAATTACTTGTAAAAGTAAACCTTATCTTACGTGCTTAGTGTTTTTTTTTGTTTTTATTATTATTATTTTTTGTCATCTTTTATCAAATTTGAACGCAACAAAATATGTTCTCATTGTCTCTAAGCTCATCTTAACTTGATAACTTAAAAAAAAACAAAAAAAATGTAAAGAACACTCAGGGACGCTTTGCCATCAGGGGTGTCTCTGACACCCCGCGCGACCTACTACGTTGCATAAAGAGGTGCGCCTGCATAAGGGTTAAATACATGCATTTTTGAATTTGGAAAATTAGATTAGATTAGATTTTGTAATAATCCGATAGCTATGTTTTTTGACCTTAGATATTGTTGACAGAAAGATGGTTTGCAAAATTATTTGCTAGATTTTCCTGAAAATCCTAATGAGGCTGCACAAGAAATGTTTGATATGGTGGAAAAAATTTCTTCAGGCATTAGAATTAAATTTTAAGTATGTCTTAGCATTAAGTGCTGATAACACAAACTCAAATTTTGGCATAAACAATAGTTTGTTTACCAAATTAAAAGAAACAATCAAAAGGAAATTGCCACGCTCATATAATCCATAACTGTGTTATTTATGCTATGGAATATCTGTGGAATATTTATCGTTAGATGTCAAAAACCTAATTTTAAAAATTTATTCCCATTTTTCAAATTCACCAAAACGCAGGGAAATACTTTTACAAGTTTGTTAATTGTCAATGTAAAGAGTTGGCTTTCACTGTATTGAAAGGATTTTAGAGATTTTAGAGAATTTTTCAGAAATTAAAAGCTATTTGTTAAGTTTAGATGAATGTCCAGTCCATATTAAAAAGTTACTTCAAATAAATGGGGATGAGGGCGAAGTAGGCATAGAAATAGAATAGTTATTTATGGTACTAGTGTGTTATGTTGAAAATAAGTCATGCGAGAAAGATTTATACCAGGAGGCCGTCAGGCCTTGCGTCTCAGTACCCTATAAATTTCAGAATGACTTGACAGTGACTTTTTTACATTTTCGCCTGAGGATATCCTTACGGAAGCGGAAGAAGCAGCGATGGAGATTTTGCCAGAAAAGTCCCGAGATGCTTACGACAAGGAGTTCAAAATGTTTGAGTCTTGGATGAATTCACGGAAGATAAAAGGTATCAATGAAAATGTTCTATTGGTTTATTTTTTACATTTGCGACGAGTACCTGTTGATAATGGGGATTAGCGGTGCTTGTAGATGCAATGAAATGGTCAATTTGAAAATAGAAAATATTCAAGACAAACGAAAATATTTTCACGTAGTTTTGCCAGACACTAAAACCAAGAAATTGAAAAGTTTCACCATACTTGAAGAAGGATTTCCAGTCAACCCGATCAATTTGTGTAAAAAATACATGTCTTTGAGTCTTTACAAAAATAGGTGGTGTACTAGCTGGTGTGTGGAAATAAATACATTGTCGAAGAATTCAAGAATTGTAATATTTTTGAGATTGGAGGAACCAGCGCTCTACACCAGTCACTGCCTGAGAAGGTCTTCGGCGACTCTTTTGGCCAATGCAGGTGCTAACATGACTACTTTGAAGCGTCACGGAGGATGGAAGTCCTCGACGGTAGCAGATAGATACCTAGAAGAATCGGTGCCTAACAAAATACAAATTGCAGAAATAATACAAGGTTCTAATGCGTCTGCGTCTTCCAGCACTATCAGCAGCTGTACCGATATGGGAGCCACGGTGCTCCTGAGGCGATTTAAATAAAATTTTGATGACACTCCAAAATTCAAGTTTAATATTGTTCTTTAATGTATTTAGAATATATCTCAACAGTTTTGAAAATCAGTTTACGTGATCAATTTTTTTAAAAATGGGTTTGAATAAAAAAGTCATGTTTCCGGGGATAAACAAATATTTAATGCAATAAATACAAACAAACAAGGAAAATTTGCGTCACTTTTTTTAAATTACAAATAAATTATAGGTATTTATAAAAGTAATTCTTGTTAAAATAATAAAACTTTCGAACGTAACAGTAGTTTTAGACTTTTAGCGCTACTGTAATATTGATATAATTATAAACCTATATAAAGTTTAAACATGAAACTATAAAATTTAATATAAAAACGATATGGAAAATATGTCATATGCTTATAAATGTAAACTATTATAGCTACATACAGCTCGATGTAGTTTTGGCCAGTAATTCTCGCTGAGTTCCGGCACTTTATAATTTTGTAATTTCAAATTAAAATCATGGTGAACTGATTCTGTACCTTGTTCTGCGAAAAATCCTTATCCCACTTTATGCTTGGAACAAAACATGATAGAAAATTGAATGCAATTTTGGCGTCACAGTTATCTTTAAATGTTCGTAGCTTTTTTTAAATTCTTTCACATGTTCCTTTAAATTTGGATGTAAAGTCAGTGAAAAACAACTGTTAACTACTACTTCGAACTTTCTAAATGTATCAACATAATCCATGCCTTTATAAAACTGACGCACTTGTCATATCTCTTGTAGTTTGTCGACATTCTTGAGCAAGTTTCCCTCGAAAGAAAATTTACCACCATTAGTATACTTTTTTTCAACATTACATTGTTGAGCCCATTTTTTTAGCAATATCAGGATTACATTCATGTAAATGAGTATAAAGTTTGTTAACGCAACCTAGTAAAAGGTGCAGCTCTGGGGGGGGCATAACATCTAGAATCAATATATCATCGCCAGAACAATACAAGGGAGGGTGAATGCAATTTTTAAAGTATTTAGCATTATTTTTGACACTTCCCTTATCGTACCAGTTGTTATAATTTTGAAGAAAGCTTTCGGTCGTTCTTAAATTACCACACGAAGCTAAATTATCTTTGCTAACATCACACCAAATACACGGATAATAACTTGCATTACTTGACAAACCAGTAATTATGTTTGAAAGTTTCAAATCAGTTGTTATTGTTGCGGGATATTCATTTCAACTTTGACCAAATATTTGCAACATTATTGTAATTTTCTTGAATATTGGGAGCAAGAGCAATAATAAATATCTTTTTTACTCCGGTATCCTTTCATTTGTTAATAATTTTTAATGCCTCATTTTTTGATTGAACAGATACAGTAAATTTCAATACCGAAATTCAAGTGAAAATTAAAAATATCTCGTATATGTATGACATGTTGAATGAATAACATTAAATTAATACACATAACAGCAGAGCTTGGATTTTTAGAAACTACTCCTTTTTTGTAGCTTCGAAGTCAAAAATATTTGATAAAAATATATAATTTGAATTTAATTTGAATTAGTGACGCAAATTTCCTTGTTTTTTTGTATTTATTGCATTAAATATTTGTTTATCCCCGGAAACAGGACTTTTTCATTCAAAACCATTTAAAAAAAAATTGATTACGTAAACTGATTTTAAAAACTGTTGGTATATATTCTAAATACATTAAAGGACAATATAAAACTTGAATTTTGAAGTGTCATCAACATTTTATTTAAATCGCCTCGGGAGCACCGTGGAGCGTCTGGTTCCAATGAACCAACGAATTTTACAATGTATAAATCTTTCTCGCGTGACTTATTTTCAACACAACACACTAGTACCATAAATAACTATTATATTTTTGTCACAACGTTTTAAATGGTTTTGATGCCGCAATTAAGGGAATTAAATCAAATGACTACTACTATATGCTGAGATGCAAAATTTAAAAAAAAAATTGAAAGATAGACTTGAAAACAAATGTTATGGCTTTGAAGTCAAAAATAGGTTAAAATCTTTAGACAAAGAGAAAAAAAATAAACGAGAAAATGAATTTAGATTTTTTTTTAAACAAATCTTTAGAATATTTAAATAAACGATTTGATTTTTCTGAAAAAAACTGGCAACATATAGTTTTTAGATTGAATTTAAAAAATGGATTTCCCTTATACTATAGTAGCACAACGTGACGAAACCGTGACGATTTGTGTCCATTGTGTCCAATTGGACACAAATCGTCACGGTTTCGTCACGTTGTGCTACCTATATATATTCTGATTTTGAATTTTTTTTATTGATAATGACAATCTAAAAATAAATATGGGTAAGCTTTTTAATGAGGTATGCGAAACTAATCGAATTTATAAATTGAAAAGGTTAGGCAATAAGGGACCTATGCCTCATTGAAAAAATATTAAGTAAATACGGTTTAAAGTGTTTATTTAAAGCCTGAGATAAAAAGAAAAGAATTTTTATATCCTTTAATAAGGTTTAAGTGGTTTATTAAAACTAATAACAATATCAAAATAACAAATTGCTTGCATAATATTTTTCCAATGAGGCTTAGGCCCCTTATTGCCGCCCCATCCTCTTCAATTGTTAGAAAGTTCTTGTAATAAGTATGAAACTTACTCTACACCACAAAAGTGAAAACATATTTTTCAGAAAGTACCAGACATTCGCAAAATTTTTTCTTTTATTTCGTATTTTTGAGTATTCCTGCAAGTTTCGCTTTCTCAAAGAGAATTTTTTCGGTTTCTGGGATAAAGTGGAGGGATGAAGAACTATTTCTATATGTTCTTTAGAACTGATTAAGGCCGAACTGCTGATATATTTTAATTTTAAAGAAAACTGTCCTGAATTTTTTAACGCAATTAAAGATAACAAAAAGCTTTTGGATGCAGCAAAGTCAAATAAAAAATACTTAAACCAAAAAATGGCTTTTTTTGGAGGACACATTTTTTGGCAAAAAACATATTCGTCTTCAGCTCCCGGAAAGGGTGGCAACCCTAGCCGTCATCCTTTTGCAAAATTAAATAGTTTGATATGACAATTGTTTAGCAAAAGTTCGTCAAAATCGGAAACGACACTTGGCGTGTTTTATCCTTATATTTTATTTACAGCAAGTATATTTTTAATGCAAGTTATTAATTTACATTATATTTTAATTTTTTTAAGCATGTTTCATCTTTTAAACTTGAATTTTTGGTTAACGATGAAGAATTTAAGTTTGCTAAAGCATTAAACATTGAACAATGGCAGCCCAATCAATCAAATGAAGAAAATTCAAAATCTGACGATAACGACTGCAAACCACGTCCATCCGGTGATGACGATAGCGAACTACGTCAATCTGTAGATGACAATCGCAGACCACGTCCTTCAGAAAATGACGGCAAAGCAAGTCCATCAGGAGACGATCTCAAACCACGTCCATCCAAAGAGAACGATCGCAGACAATAAAGTTAAATTTTGAAATAAGCAAATACACTACGATTTAAAAATAAGATCGTATTGATATTTATATTTACATTAATATTTCAGCATTTCTTTTATTTGCTTTGGATCATTATTCATACACTAGGTTTAGAGATTAATAAAAATTGGAAGTCTAAGAGGCCTATTCCCTTTCTTGCTGTTCGTAAACATCGATTTCTTAACATGTATGTTCACCCAACGACAATCCAAACATCACCTATGTTTAATGCTATTCCGTTTCTCATATGTTGAGAGTCTTGACCTTGAATCTTTTTGAACAGCGATAAATGTTTCTAGGACAGAGAGTATCTTTGTTTTATAACCTAAAAGTCGCAAATCGGAAACTAAAATTGTGTTAGATAATTATTTTAAAAATCATTGGTGATATTTATTATATTAAATAAACTTAAAAACAACTGAGGAAAATCCACAAACTCTAAAAATACTTGGGAAAAACGTTTTATGCTGAACTAGCCAAAGCACAGATCTTCTGGCGGGGCCATCCTTATATGGAAAAGGGTAGGTAATCATAAAATATCTTAAAATAATTATTTGTTACTTATTTTTACACACTTTTAGCGTTGAGTGAAAAAGGCAAGAAAACTACGCATTTCTCTCATGGACACTGGCAATGTCGGGGAGCCAGTAAAACAACTTAATGACTTTAAAGATAAATTACTAGCCCTAATAGAGGAAGCGCTGTGAAAGTTAGTGGTGGAGGGTAAGGTGGAGGTAATACCATTGTTAAAACTCTTCATTGACCAGCCTTTAAGGTCGGGTGGAGGGCCCCTTCTACAACAGAGAGGCATAAAGAGAAAGTCCAAGTCAAACTCTGACGAGTAGTGAAGGTGTAGAGGTTTTACAAGGTATTGATAAAACCTAAAAGATTTTAAAATTAAACCAAAAAGTTTTACCTCCCATGTGAAGAAAAAGAGTTTTTAGATGCATATTTTTTTGTATTTTATTAGTTATACTTTTCTTTGACTAATATATTGTCTATATTTTTAAGTATTTGATATTTTATATTTGTTGTATATTTTTAATAAAATATATTTTTCCAAGTTATTTTTTATTCTACTAATATATTAAGTTTTAGAGGTCGTTTTTAGACACTCTGCCACCCTTGTAACATATAAGTCTTGACCTCCCTCCCCCCAAATTCTCTCTTCACACTCAGATTTTTTACTTTTCTGTTTTTTTCTAAATAAATATTTATTATTATAATAAAATTAATATTAATTTTATTAAAAAAATCAGTAAAGCAAAATTTGTATTCTGGTATTATAATTTGGAAATACATTTTAATAATTAAAAAACATAAGTATATAAATAAAAATATTTTTAAAATTACCAAAAAATATATTTTTATTTGTTTGGTGTAAAACCTTTGGTTTTATTTGTTTGGTGTGAAACCTATGATTTGTCCTATTCTCATTTATAAATAATTATTTATCATTTTTAATTATAATTAATTAGGTATTAATTATAAAAAAGTAATTATTCCATAATTACTATTCTTGATAATGATACTGTACCAAACATCGCCGCAATTTATGATTAATGCAAGATAAAAAACCTCAAATATTGGCCAACAGCACCTCTTAGGCAAGCGTTCGTAAACATACGTTTTCAAACATCATGTATGTTCACCAAACATCGAATTTTGGAATCGGAATAGCCATTTTAACACCGATGATGTTTATAAACATGTATGTTTAAGAAATTCTTCGAGCGCATGCGTCTATAGACGAAATAATTGAAAGGGAATAGGCTCATATGTTACGAAACATATGTAGTTCATGAACATGCATGTTTAGCGAAAGGGAATAGGCCTCTAAAGCAGCCAATGAGAGGGCAGACATTTTCTGCTCTAGAGAACGAGCCCGTGTTTGTTCAAATGTAGGTAGGCAACCATTGTTTACCCAACAGATTGATTGCAGAAATTAAATCGAACTAATGTAACTTTTTAGAACATTAAGAATATACCCTTGGGAAAGTATCGTCTAAGATCGTCAAAAAAAAAGACGAAAATTCGTCCAATGACGATCGCCTATAAAAGACGATCGCCTTAAAACGATCTTTTTAAATGACGATCGCCTTAAAGACGAAAATTCGTCCAAATAATGATCGCCTCAAAAGACGATCGTCTTTAAAAGACGATCAACTTGAATTCGAAAAACGAGAAAATATCAACCAATGACGATCACAATAGAAAAACATTGTTTTAAAAATAAGTATTTAAAAGACAATTGTGATATGTAATCGTCATTCGTCGAATTTTAAGTACTAATTGTTAATGGTTGAAAATAAATAAGAAAAAAGAATATTTTTTTAAAATTAAGCTAAATTAATTTTAACTCACTTTAACCCGACCCCCCATTTTAATATTTTTTAAATAAAAGGGACCTTTTGCCATAAAAAATATTTTTTATAGATTTTTGGCTTCTATAAACCTATAGGACCTATAGTATAGTATATAGTATAGTATAGGTATTTAATATAATTTTTATCAAGCTTCTGTTCAAAAATTATAATATATAAAATATTGTAAAAATTCTAGTTTTAAATTTTTGTTGTAAGCATTATTTAATTTATAAAAATGTTATAATAATTGTAAATAATTAAATAATAAATGCAATTTTTTTGCAATTTTGCATTTGAAAATAAACAGTATGGATATATAAATAAACTGTGTATTAAAAATATATATTTTAATATTTAATATACATTGATGCCAAAATAATAAAAATAAAATAATAAAAACATACAGTTTTTTGTCTTATGATAAGAATCTTATCCCATCGGCATTGCTTAATATTATTTAAATAACCCAAAAAATCACCCCTAAATTTTTTGTTAAAGAGTAACATAATTAAACTAATTCAAAACAAAACGGATTTGCAAAAATCATCACAGCGCAATATATTCCAAAAATAACCGAAGAAATCGCCCCTTAAATTTTTGCCCAATTTTAAGTGATCACCTTGTAATTTAAAAATTATAAAATAATTATACAAATTATAATATATATTTATAAATTTATAAATATATATAGTGTAAGTTACTAAAGTAAGTATACTTTCTATTAATAATTATAATTTATACATTAATTTAAAAATCATTGTTTATTAAAAGAGATCGCCTAGTTTTAAGATTGTGAAATTCACGATTACTCCTTTTAAAGAGGATTGCAAAAGGCGATCTTCATTTTCTGAACGATCGATTGCTTAGAATATACGATCGCCTGATTTGTATGACGATCGTCAACGTTTAGATAGACGATCGTCATTTTATTAAGATGATCATCAATTTTACAATGACGATCGCGTATATTTATTGACGATTGTCAACAAAAATAACAGGCGATCTTCTATTTTAAACGACTTTATAGGCGATGTCATCAATATTTGATGATATCGTCTAAAAAATCGTCAATAAAAGAGGATCGTCAAAAAAATTCTAGACGATACTTTCCCATGGGTATACATTAGGGTGGTCCTTATTTAGGGTGTGTTCGAATTTTTTTTTACGATAGTCCTAAATAGGTTCCAAATATATAAAAAAAATAATGTGCCAAATTGCAGCTCTTAATTTTAAAATTAAGCCGGCCCCCCGACAGCCAAAGTTTTAAATGGAAATAACATGGGAAAAGTTCTGTTATTACTTTGGATTTTTTTAAGTCATGAACTAATAAACGGATTATATAGAAGTATAAATATTCTTGTAACAAATTTAACGCTCTACAAAACAGGTTTCTTGTGATTTTTTGCCAACTTAACTGGTTCAAAAGTTATTGGTCAAAATGGAAGTTCTAGTCAATTCTATGTTTTTTTCCATTTTCAACGTGGTTTAATGATTCAAAAATGTAAAAAGGGTTATAATTTATATTTTAGATGGTTCTATCTTTTAGAAAATTTTCACGGTAATCCTGACTCTAGTTTTAAATTCAAACTTCTTAATAAAAACATTGCTGTGGCTCCCGTCCCGAGGCGGAACTTAAGTTTAGTCCCGAGTGACGTCATAATTTTAAGATTTGTTATGTTACGATAAAACTAAAACAAACCAACCAACCCAACATAACATAACACTTTTTAACAAAGGAACAACAAATTTATAAAATAAAAAAAGTTCGACAACTTCTAGTAGTATCGAACCCGGTACCTCTAGCATGCCAAGCGACCGCCTTACCATCTGGTATTTTTTTTATCCATTGAAACTTTAATAATATTTAATCAATAAATATTTTTTCTTACTACCTCGACTCAAAATACGTTGTTTCGTCCCCGATTTCACGGCTGAAAGTTTACGTTTCTTGCATTGGTCAAGCTATACGCGCACACTCTAATAGCGGGAGTAAAAATTTTTTAGTCGTGTGCTTAACAAATTTCGTACTGCCAACATGAGAAACACAAAAATATGACAGTTTTAAACCATAATTTTGCAATTATAACAACAAATAAACAATTTATGTTTTTACTTTTTTACTTTTTATGTTGTTTTAAGTGTTTAATGGTACTTTTATTTGTTATAAAGTAGTAATTTGTTAATTAAAATACAACCTTTTATTTTTACTGTATTGGCACCGCTGAATTACCATGACAACGCTACAGTTTGATTGATTTTTAATGTAAACGTCAGAATTAAATTAAACGTCAGATTTTAATTTTGACACAAGTTTTTTTATATACATTTAATTTTTTCCCGTATTTTTTGAGGGGTAGCAAGAAAAATAGTATACACTACACGGGCAGAAAGTGTGAGAGCCCTGAACTGCGCGCCATGATGCCCTCGGCTTCGCCTCGGGCATCATGGCGCGCAGTGCAGGAATCTCACACTTTCTGCCCTTGTAGTGTAATATACTATTCTTTTTAGAGCAAACGTCAAGATAAGAAAAGTCATTTAGAATATAAATTATAACCCTTTTTACATTTTTGAATCATCAAACCACAATAAAAATGGAAAAACCATGGAATTGACTAAAGTGAAGTCAAATCCAAGACAAACTAAAACAAAAAACGCCAGACGCGTGATCAGTCGTTTGCAGGTGGATAGAACGGTTCTTATTGGGCGAGTCTGAGTTGTGAAGCGTGCCGAAAATTCTTGCCAGGGCCGCACTATATCCATTGCGGTTATTAATAGCGTATTGTTTGATTACTTCCTTGTTTTCGCGGCTTTCATCTTTGTGGTTATTTTTGTTATTGTTTTATTATTAATACTTGTTATATAACGTTATTTGTTGTTATTGTTGTTGTTATTGTTGTTGTTATTGCTATCATTGTTGTGGTTATTTGGTTTTTATTGTTATTATTCAATTAAGTGCGATGTCTAGCACAGACGAAGCTGAACATTTTGAGGGCTTAAGCCCAGTTAAAAAACGGTCTAAAAGAAATCACTTAAGTGTGGAAATAAAAGAGGTTATTATAAATGTTTTTAAAAAGGAGACAACAGAAAACCAGGAAATAACTATAAATGAGATTGTACATAAAGTTGCGGAAAAGGTTGGAGTGGGCCGTTCTTCAGTTTTTAAGGTTGTTAGGGAATACAAACGAAACGGCAGTTTATCTAAACCAAATACCAATCAAAATCGCACAACCACGGTAAAAAAACTGGATGATGCTGATAAGCATGCGATAAGAAGAAAAGTTCATGCATTTTTTTTCCGTAATGAAGTACCCTCCATTGAAAAAGTTTTAAAAGAAGTTAATGATGACGACATGTTGCCAAATTTTAAACGTACCACATTTTTGAAAGTTTTAAAAAGTTTGAATTTTAAATGGCAAAAGCGAGGACGGAATAGCTTGTTAATCGACAGGGAAGAAATTATAATATGGAGAAGAGAATACCTTACAAAAATTAAAGCGTTTAGGAGAGAAAATAGACCCATATACTACCTTGACGAAACATGGGTTAATGCAGGGCACACAACCCCTTCTGTGTGGGTTGACGGAACAGTAAGTTCATCCAGACAAGCCTTTTTAAATGGATTATCCCCCGGATTAAAAAATCCTTCAGGTAAATAACCCACTTTTTGCAGTAAAAATTTTGTTTTCATTCCATAAAATGTATGTTTTAGGAAAAGGAAAAAGGTTAATTGTTTGCCATATTGGCAATGAAAAAGGATTTGTCGAGGGCGGTTTATGGTGCTTTGAATCGAAAAAAACCGGCGATTACCACGAAGAAATGAACGGGGAATCATTTGAAAAGTGGTTTGAAAATATTTTATCCCGTTTGGAAGCAAATTCCGTAATAGTACTCGATAATGCACCATACCACTCTCGGCGAATCGAAAAAATTCCAACAAGTGGTTCGAAAAAGGGGGATGTTCAAAACTGGCTGCGCTCCAAAGACATTCGATTCGAAGACTCTATGCTTAAGGTCGAACTTTTGGCAATAGTTAAGCGACATAAGGCGAATTATCAAAAATATATTATTGATGAAATGGCCGCGAGTCAAAATAAGACCGTTCTTCGATTGCCGCCATACCATTGCGAATTGAATCCAATTGAATTAATATGGGCTGATGCTAAAAATTTTATAGCTCAGCGTAATGTAAGCTTTAAGTTTGCAGATTTAAAAGGCCTTTTTAATGAAGCCTTGCAAAATATAACTGCTGAAAAATGGAAAAAATGCGTTCAGCACGTAATCGAAAAGGTCGAGGTAAAAATGTGGGAGTTGGACAATATAATGGAAGTTCAAGTCGAGCCACTAATCATTAATCTGGGTGGCGATGATGATACTGATGATGATGATACTGATGATGATGTTTAAATAAATAAAAAAAGACTTTAAAAAAATAAATTAAAAATAATAAAATAATTTCAAAAATGTTTGTTAATTTTGTAATTTAAAAAAACATATTTTTTAAATGTTTTAAAACTTTCACATTAAACTTTAATTATTAAAGTTTAAAACAATTAATTTTAAATAATTTTCAAAAATTTCGTGAAGTTAATTTAAAAAATATAATTTTTATAAAAAATTTAAAAACTTTACATTAAAGTTTAAAAAATAAATTTAAAATAATAATGAAATTATTTCCCAAAATTTTGTTAATTTCGTAATTTAAAAAAAAAACTTTTAAAAATATTTTAAAACCTTTCCATCAAAGTTTAAAAAAATAAATTTAAAATATTAAATGATCAATAATATTGATTCAATATATTTTAATACGGCCCAGTGCAACAATTTTCGTCGATCACGTGAATAGAGCATGGACAACGCATGATTGTGTTTAAATCGAGTTCGGCTTGGATTTGACTTGACTTTAGAACTTTGATTTTGACCTCAAATAACTTTTGAACCAGTCAAGTTAGCAAAAAATCACAAGAAACCTTTTTTGTAGAGCATTAAATTTGTTACAAGAATATTTATTCGTCTATATAATCCGTTTATTATGTCATGACTTAAAAAAATCCAAAGTAATAACAGAACTTTTCCCATGTTATTTCCATTTAAAACTTTGGCTGTCGGGGGGCCGGCTTAATTTTAAAATTAAGAGCTGCAATTTGGCACATTATTTTTTTATATATTTGGAACCTATTTAGGACTATCGTGAAGAAAAATTCGAACACATCCTAAATAAGGACCACCCTAATATACATACATAATATAATATATATTATGAAAGTTTTACAGATTTTAATACAAGAAATGTTCATAGTAATCCGCGCTATATTTTCAAAGAATAATTTAAAATTCATTTTACAATAAAATACAAAATTGCGAATATTGGGATTAATATTTATTAATTAATTATAATTTATTTCACACAATTGTCCAAATTTTAAATGATCAATTTGTAATCTGGGTTACCTACGAACAAACACGAGCTTTTTCACTCCTACAGTTTGTAAATTTTATTAAAAAAATTCAAGTATTAAAGATTTTATACCATTTCTAATTTTTTTTTAATTTAGTAAAAAAATAATAAAAATTTAAAATGGTATAAAACCTGTAATTCTTGAACTTTTTTAATAAAATTTTAAATTTGTCAATAAACTTCAGTGAATTAAATATTGTACCACTTTAATTTGAATTATCTTAATTTGGAGGGGCAATAGGCTGGGGGGCACAGTTAAAAACTAACTTTTTTTCGCAAACTTCAATTTAAATTCTGCTTGCCCAGAACTTGTCATATAATGTCATTATAAACTTATATAAATTTGATGTGGGTCCCATGTCTAATAACTGAGATATGGGTGTGCCCAAAATCCACCAGCCGCCACTGGTTTAACCTTATAGCGGGCAGTGGCATTTTCTTGCAGAATATTTAACTACAGTTCGGTTTTGGTTCTCGTATCGTCGGTTGCTCTATGAAAGAGTATTTGAAAAATAAGTGACTTCTCGACCCAGGAGAGGCAAAATCGGACTCCCAGTGTAAAAACAAACTGGTTTTAATCAAGAATTTGCAAAAATATATGGAAATAATTAAGAGATGGATCGGATGATTGAAGATTAAAGATAACACTGTGCAACACAAAAAATGAACTGGGATCAAATCTGAAAAAATCTAATCTAGGCAACCCCCAAAACAAATCCTTTAAGGGGTTTTACCAGTTTAGCTCGAATAATGGAGATATACAGGGTGTTTCTTTTAACTTGAGACAGCTCAATATCTCGAGAAATACCTACGCATTTCACGAAAAAATGTCTTAAATAAACGGTTAATGTGACTAAAGGGGACATTATTTGGTGCTACCGCTAGCCACCCCCTACCCCTCCTTAAGGGTGAAACGGGGGGTAACTTTGGAAAGTCAAATGGAATGACCCGATTTTTTTCACAGAGTTTGGTAGTACATAAAAAAATAAATAACTTTTATTTAAAACTTTTTTCAATTTATTAACAGATGGCGCTGTAATTATATGTAAATGTAATTAGATATATTTTGTCGTTTACTATATTAAAATGCAGTTTGATTTCTATTATTTTGTGTTAGACTTTTTAAAAATATCCAAACTTATAAGTTTGGATATTTATTTGGATATTTATTTATTTATAAATATTAATTATAGTAGGTATAGTTATCATTAGTTAATTCTACGAATAAGTTCTTAAATTAACCCAAGCAAAGTTTTTAAGCTTTTAATTGAAACGCAAAACACAAATAACGCGCGCGCTTAAGATGTGCACATGAAACTTTGCGAACAAAATTTGTAAAAAAACTAATTAGGTATTTATTTATAAATAATGTGCAGTTTTTATGGTTTAAATGTATTGTACTTCAATTATTAATAATGCTATCGAGCGCCATCAGATGGCCCCTTGGGTTTCGACATATATACGAAAATAAAGTAACAATCTCAAAAAACATTTTGGAACTATAGTTATAATTGTCTCTATTAACATTCCCCGTTATTAAAATTATTGATACTTTAAAATATTTATTACTATAATTTCAAAATTTTATCACAAGTATTGAAAATTCTAACAAGGTACAAAAAGTGACATTGGAATTCGCGATCGAATTTTTAACTTGGTAATGTACCGTCGTTAAAATGTCAAATTTTTCTGTGTAAATCAAAATTTATCCTTCAAAATAAACTAACAACCAACACAGAAGCAGTTTTTCACAGTAAAAGTGAATAAAATGTTTTATGGTCACTACACGCAAAATTAAAATCTAGTTTACTGCACTACTACGGCGAATTCAAAAGGTTCATAATCTTATAATCTTTTTTAATATTGGCGTCAAGAAACTATTTTGAGTAATTTTCACATTTGCTATTATTTCACAATGAAGGGCACTTTATTTTATGGATTATACATTTTACAACTGTCAACTAACTTAAAGCTAACTTCAACCCGTGACTAAAACGCCATAAAGCCACAACTTGTCAATGTTTATTTAAAAGTTTTGTAAATAAATCTGTTTGGATTAAAATTGCACTTCCCTGCTGTAATATTTTATTTTAAAAACCGACCGGTTTCGCCTTACGGCATCTTCAGTGTTTCTACAAGAGGTACATAAATAGATATTAGATACATATATATATAGGTTAAGCATACTTTAAAGTAATATTAATTAATATTAATTAATATTATTAAAATATTAAAATATACTATTATTACATAAACATTACTAGGTTGTCGATACAATAAATAATCAATGAGACTAAACAATTGATACATTAAAACTGAAGGAATATTATTTTTCTATAAAATTAGAACTGATAGAAAATATAAATATAAAATGAGGTTAGGTTGTTGTTGTTGTTTTTGGTTAGTTGACTAGATGTTTCAAACATCTAGTCAACAACAGTCAAACATCATGTTTGTAGATTGGTGTATATAATAAATTTACTTGTTCATTAAGGCATTGTTCTTTTTTAAATTTTTGTATACATATTAAGGACATGACAATACAATTATCCTTAAAATTTGAAGTCGTTTGACCGTCTATAACCCGAGATAAATTCAATTAAAAATTGGATAATTAACATGGATTGTATAGGCTTTCTGTAGATCTGTACCAGTTTCTTAGTTATAAAAAAAAAACTAACTGTCAGAAGCTTTCAAAAAACTAACAGTCTTTTAATGTATTTTTGCTGAGTTTAAAAAAAAATAATTAAAAATTTTTGACCGTCCAATTGTTTATAAATATCCGTTTAAAGTTCAACAATTTGTAAAAAGTATACATCACTAGTGTCAGATAAAAACAACTTGGCAACGCTGTACGCGAGTATAGATATTATTTCCGCAGTAAATTCAAACACTGATTCAGTCTCCAATATATCTATTGGTTGAGCATAAGCGACGTTGCCGGATTAAAACTTATGAAAATATTTGAAAGTATTACGTAAAGGTATCGTCTCCAGGGCACAGTCTTGCGAATAAATTATGATTCACTTAGCTACAAGCTCGTATATTTTTACGGTGCGTATAATCTAAAAATTTTTGACAATATTGTACCACGACAACTACCTTGAAGGAGTGTCCTGTATCTGTAATGATTTCCGAAATTTGATTTGTGATTATTGTTATTTGTGTGTTCTTTAATTCTTGTCTTAAAATTTCTGCCTGTTTCACCTATATATGTGGCTTCGCAATCATTGCAAGTTAATTTACAAACTCCACTTTTTTCAAATATTATTTATATTATTTAATTTATTTGTTGTTTTGCGTTATTAAGGTTATTATGTATATTGTTGTTTGTTTTTATGGCTGCTTTTAAGTTGTATTTTTTTTTTAATTTTGTTTATTGTTTCTGTGATTGGTCCTTGAAAGGTTATTTTTCTATATTGATATTCTTTCTTTTCTTCGTTGTACATGTTTAAAAATTTTAAAGTGTTTTTCCATTGTATTCTTTTTTGTGTCTTTTTAATTGTGTTATTATTAAATTTGTTTTCGTGGCCTATTTGTAGTATTGTGTTTAGTTCTTTTTGGTATTCGTTTTCTGTTAGAGGTGTGTTGTTAAGTCTGTGTAAGAAGCTGTGGAAAGCGGAGTGTTTTTGTTGGTTGCAATGGAACGAGTCACTCGGTATAACAGCGCTTGTTGTAGGTTTTCTGTAGATGTTGAAGTTGTAGGCTGTTTCACTGCGGTGTATTGTAAGGTCTAAAAATGTTATTTTCTTTTCACTTTCTTTTTCTATTGTGAATTTAAGCTTGATATCATATGTGTTGATTATTGATGTATTTGTGAAACTTAGTTAATTCTTCT